GTTCGTACAAATCTTTCGCCTTTTACTAAAGATTTCCGTGGAGAGGAACAACATGAGTTACAACTAATTTTTTGATGCACTGCCTCGTGCGGGGCTTCCTATGATGTCGAATATAAATGTCAGATACAGTAAAGGTAAATTAGCATCACGTCTCTGTCATGTGAGACGGAGCGATACGCAGTCCGATTACAATAGGTTGACCACATGTTTTAAATWCATCATACAAGAACTCTGAAATAACAACATAAAATTCACGAGATGTAGTTCACAATCTGTCCACCAGAGGGCGCAGTGGCGAGAAGCGCGTGCCTGAACAGACGCACTACAGCGCATGCGTCAACTTTACAAACTAGTATAATGATTTTATACTTTTTCACTCAAACATTTTCGTGTTTATTTGTTTGGATTGCGATGTTATTAAATAAATGAGCAATTATGTCTCGTTAATTTTGTTAAAAGAGCTAGAAAAACAGTTTTTAGCACTATTTTATCTTACAGGCGAAACTTTACCCATCATGAATTCCACGTCATGTTCTAAATGTTTGAAATAATGTTATATTTTTTTTTTTACCAATTTGTAAACATTCATACATTGTTCATGTTTGTTTTTGTAACAGTATCGTTTTAAACACATTTATACGTCACCAATTTTGTATTAAATCAGCGTCACCGTCACTGTGAAGTACATGTCCATGAATCACTACCTCTCACTTCAACGTCAGATGTCAYCACTCATGTTTCTCTTCAGATCGTATAAATCTTTCGCCTTTTACTAAAGATTTCCGTGGAGAGGAACAGCATGAGTTACAACTAATTTTTTGATGCCCTGCATCGTGCGGGGCTTCCTATYATGTTAAAAATAATAAATAACGGACTTGCAGAAAAGGAAACTTTGCATTTCGTGTCTTCCATGAGAGCCGGAACGTTACGCAGTCCGATAATCGGTTGACCATAGATTTAAATACATCAGGAAAGAACTCTGAAAAACTTCTTCCACCAGTATTTATTCAACATAAAATCCACAAGATGTAATTTACACATCTGTCCACCAGAGGGCGCAGTGATGTGAAGCGCCTTCCTGAACAGACGCACTACAGCGCATGCGTCAACTTTACAAACTAACATAATGATTTTGTACTTTTTCACTCAAACATTTTCATGTTTATTAGTTTGAATTGCGATATTATTGAGCGATCATGTCTCGTTAATTTTGTTAAAGAGCTAGCAAAACAGTTTTTAGTGCTATTTTACCGTAAAAGCGGAACTTTACCCGTCGTGCATTGCGCGTCATGTTTTAAACGTTCGTTGAAATAAATATATATTTTTAACTATTTCTGAAAATCATACAAAGCTCATGTGTCTTTTTGAAACAGTATCGTTTTAAGCACATTTATACGACCCGAATTTTGTATTAAATCAGCGTCACCGTCACTGTGAAGTACATGTCCYGGAATCACTACCCCTGACTTCAGCTGCACAAGTCAGCACTCATGTTTCTCTTCAGATCGAATAAATCTTTCGCCTTTTACTAAAGATTTCCGTGGAGAGGAACAACATGAGTTTCAACTAATTTTTTGATGCCCTGCCTCGTGCGGGGCTTCCAATTGCTGTCAAAGAAAAATTATAATTCTTTAGGAGAAAGCTCCACGTTTATGTATAATTATTTACCAGCTGAAACGGCACGCCATTTGGTCGTAATGTGTTTTTGACCATGGAATCAATACGTTAGGTGAGAACTCTATTTCTGCCTCCACCAGTAGTACATATTTGTACTATACAAAATTCACGAAATGTAGTTCACTCATCTGTCCACCAGAGGGCGCAGTAACTCATCTCCACACTGGATACAGCAGCTTCAAACAAAACAAATATTTACTATAAAGGTTCTGGGAACACATCGTACAGACAATGAGCACTTCCTGGGAGTTTTGTTAAAGACTCCCCAGTGGAGAGACAAGATATTTTGCTAACAGACTCCAATAGTTACTGGCGATGCTTCATATACAACTGATAAATAAAAGTAAATTATAATTATTGCCCTGCTTCAATGTCAACAAGTGGTTAACTTTGCCTGCTTAAGTTTTAATGTGTGACTTTAATATTAGGTCAGGGGGGCGTTGTCCCTGTAAACAGATTTCTGTGCCCAGAACTGACTGACTGACTGGGAAGTACAGTGGTTAGAGTCAGACTTCCCATTTCAGAGCTGAGACCGTTTGACTCAGTTTGTCTCGTGGAGGCGAACAGAACAGGAAACAAASCAGCAGAGACAGAAACTAAAAGGTGAGTGATGTGAGCAGCAGACCTGACTGGATGCAGCTCGGCAGCTGACACGCCTCAGACCCGGGGAGATCCAAAAAAACAAAAACACAACCAGGCAAGTTTTTATTTCTTCCATCAACATTCAGGGTTTAAAATGCCAGGAAGCTTCAGTTTGTTGTGAAGTGATTTAAAACTCTAAACTGAGTGAGATGATAGGAGGAAATCAAGCTTTGTGCAGTTATAATCTGATATTTTCTGATTATTATTTCTCATAGGTTTAGATTTGATTAAACGTGACACATTTTGTCGTCTCWTTGCTTCAGGAGCTAACAGAATCCCTCAACGAGAAATGAAGAGACCAGATTGCTGGGTGACGAGGGGCCGACTCTGAGCCGAGGTTCATGCAGGCTTCCTGTTCTGTGGCCGGGAATTCATCAGACTCATGTTCTGAGCTTTAGCTTCGAGATGTTCTGCTGCACCTTCTGCTTCCTGTCTGCTTCTGAGCGCAAAGGTTTTCATCTGCTCAAACCTCCAGGCCCAGAGCTGAACGACAGCTGAAATTTACTGAACAAGATGAAACTGAGGAGCTAAAGCTGAAAGAAAAGAACACCAGATAAAAGCTAAATGGAGCTAAACACTGATTTAAAGCTTTAAAAAGCAAAATGCTACATAAAAGCGTGACAAATGGCTAAAAGTAGTAAAATGCTAACTATAAAAGCAGCAAAAGTTGGATAAAAGCTAAAGTAGCAAAAGATTCCTAAAAGAGAATGTAAAAAGCTGAAAGTTAAAACTGTAGCTAAAGTTAAAAGATAGCAAAAACAGCTAAATGTAGCAAAACAGTAGCTAAAAGTTTAAAATAGCAAAATGCTATCAAAATATAGCAAAACTCTACTTAAGCAGAAAAAAATAATAGTACCAAAATGCTTGCTAAAGTTAGCGTAATAAAAGCTATCAGTAACAAAAAGCTAGTTACAAATTAAAATAAGCAAAACTGTGGCTGAAAGATAAAGATTAAAGCAGAAAATGCTATCATCTAAAAGTAGCAAAACCCTACTTTAGTAAAACATTTTAAATATAAAAATTCTAGCTAAAAGTAGAAGCTAACAGTAGCTAAAGTTAGTGTCAAAATACTAGATAAATATTAAAAGTAGCAGGACAGTAGCTAAAACATAAAATTAGCAACAAAAAAAAAACAATTCAAAGGAATTGAAAAAATGCCAATGCATTTAATGAGGAACATATTTTGTAATTATTTAGTAAAAATACAAAAGCTACAAAAACAAAAGTCAGAGCACACATCTCCTAAATGAGCTGAGTGTTTAATTGCACAAAGTATGCAGAAGTATCGACTGAAACCGTTTCGAAATGATGCAAAATAACCATAACTGAGCCACAAAAGCAAAATGTGTAAAGTCATGCTGAAATGTTTTGGTTTCAATGGACATAAAAACAATAAAACCAACTCAAGTTTTCAAAAGAGGAAATGAGGTCAACTCAACTGCAGATTAAACACGTGACGCTTTAAGCTGTATCATATTTAACTAAACTAACAAGAACAAGGCTCGGATTATGCGCTGTGGGTGACTTTCTACAACTACTGGAAGAGATTTTAGCTCAACACCTGTACGACTGATTGAGTTACAGATGTTTTTTTTTTGTTTTAGCTGATGTCGATTAGCTGTAGCGGCCATCTTGAATGGCGACCACACAGACAAAAACAAAGTTTTTCAAAAAGTTCTAAAACGTTGAGTTGTTTTCAGTTGAACTTAGCCGTTAGCTTGCTCATAATTTAGCTCATTTCTCCATTCTGAGGTCGTGCAAAAAAGCCATCTACGACAGGTGAGATATTGATTGTTCATGATGTTTCCACAGAGCTCTACTTCACTTGATTTAGTTTATGCTTTCAAGTTGGAAAGAAGTGGTTTAAGTAGGTGGAAGTGAACCGTGGACCTCTGACTGACGTTTATGGTAGCGAAAGTCACACAGTTTCCTCTATTTTCCAGCTCCGACATGTCGACCCTGCAGCCGCAGTGAGCAGCATGGCGCTGGTGTTGGTGGAGCACGAGTATGAGTACAAAACGAGGAGCGGCCGGCTCGTGTCCATCAAGCCCAACGAGAGGTACGTCCTGGTCTCCAAGTCCAACGAGCACTGGTGGCACGTGCGCAGGGACCAGCACACCCGGCCCTTTTACGTCCCTGCCCAGTACGTGAAGGAGCTCTCGGCCCGACGCTCCCCTGGTTCCGATGAGTCGGGCTCAGATGAGTGCGTGATTAAGAAGCCGCCACAAGTGACGCGTGCGTCGGACTCCAGGGAGACGCACCGCTTTTCCACGTTCGGTTTGTGCGTCAGCCTGCCGGACCCAGCTTCACGTGAGCCTCCGAGACCAAAACAGACTCTGACAAAGACAGAAAACTCCTCTAAGAGGTTTTCAATCTCCGCGTCGGATTTGAAAACCGAGAACAGGCGTCACTCGAACCCTCGGCCTGCGGATCAGCCCAGAGACAAGCAGCAGGAGCAGCCAAAAGCCACAAAACAGGATGAGCCCACTGAGCAGACCCCTCTGGGTGACGGAGACGGGGACTTCCCTTTACCCCCTCCTCCAGCACAGATGTGCTGCACGGTTCCAGAGATAAATATAACAGAGTTTGACTCTTTTCCTGAGCCGCCAGACTTTGTTGGCCCGGATGAGTCTGCAACGAAAGAACCACAGCAGAAGAGTTTGGACCAAACTACAGGAACAACTTTAAAGACAGAAGATCAGGTAACCACAGCTTTTAAATTGCTTTTACCGGATTAGCCACCAGAGGGCAGAATTCCCCTTTTTTGTACTGCTTCAAATACAACAGCTGTCAGAAGAAGAACTCACAAAACACATTTTCACAGTATTCACAGTACTTTTTACAGTATCTGATACAATCAGACGGTTTAAAAGCCTTGCAGTATTGATCTGAGTTCACTCCAAGTGCAACCAAAGAACAGTTTCTGACAGGTCCATTCATCTGTCCAGTGGTCTGAGAGATATTTTGCTAACAGACATAGGGATGACTCCGGTGGTTTAGAGTTAGGCAAAAGTGGCCAACTGCTAAAGAACTAAAATGCTAGCTC